CTCTCCTTTCATTTTTTTGTCTGACTTTTAATCTAATTATCTTTCCTTCCTTCCTTCCTCCAACTTTTTTAATTTCACATGTTAAATTATTTACTGATGTGTGCCATAAACTTTGAGGTCAATTTTAATGTTCTAGGTTTCCTTTAATAAACCTGAAGGATTGAGAGCTCTGGATAATCTGATATTTTGTACACTATATTAGAAACCTTTAGTCATCTGTATTCTGAGCCTATTTATTTTCTGTTGAAAATCAAATTTTACGTTCCGTCATTTGGAGAACTACATTAAAAGCAAATACAAATATAATTCTTCTAACATTTAGCCTTGAAGAATTTACCATTTTATTAAAACTCTTCCTGCTTGTTTCTGTGGTCGCCAACTCTTTGCAATGCAACGCTGATCACAGCCATATGACTTTAACTTAGCTACAAGCAGACGTGGTACTGTGGTAAATTTTTCTTGACAGGGGAAGCGCAGGAGTTCCTGTCCCACCTTACAGACTAAAGATAGAAGCAGCGGCTGGGGCAGTTTATTTGTTTTTTCTGCCTTCCATATACTGTATCTCTGTTCCCATTTTCAAGACCTGGAAACCCTCCCAGAAGGTCAACAGGGTGAAGCTGATAAGAGCTAAGCTCTCATGCTTAAAGAGAAAATCCTGTGTATAAACAAGGGATGGCCAATAAACTACTGTTTACCATATATCATTATAACAATTAGTGATCCTGTGTAATAAAAATAATCCAAACTGCTGCATGCTACTGTTCTGCAGAAGCCCATTTGCTAACCAAGTAAACATTTTCATATACGGTACATCATTTGCTTTCAAGATTAATATAATTTGTTGATTACAACTTGCTGTTAGTAGGTAAGGAAAATGATATGAAGAAAAAGACGTCATTAAATAAAACAAGAACTTTAGCCCTTAACTACTCTTCAATGGGACAGGAGATGCTCAAAAAATGGGTTTGTGACTAGAATCAAGGTTATTTTCTTGAGTTTTGGCCCCCGACCAGCTACCTATTGTACATCCATTGTTTGTAAAACAGTGTTTTTAATCTGAGTTTTGTCTGAAAATACAGACACTCATAAGTCTGACATGCTTCATACCAGGCTGTGACGATCTGCTAAAACACACGTGTTCCCAATACTCATTTAGCTGCAGTCCCTATCAGACAATAGCTTTCCGATTATGAATGCACAATATACATTCTGTCCTATGGAGCTCTGCAGCGTTAATTCACAACCATCAGATGTTCTGTTGGTAACTTCTCACCACTTCAGCTTACCTGAAAATACAAACAGGCACTTATAAGTATGACGTGCTTTACACCAGGCTGCTTAATTGCCTCTCTGCCAAAATATTAATTATCAAACTGCCTTTATCTATGCAACCTGACATGAAAACTGGAATACAAGTGCTTTTTCATTAAAAAACAAAGCAGAATATTTAAAGGGGGGCACAGATATGTTTTAAAGGAAAAGGCGGGGGACTTGTTCAAAAAGCTCACCATTATCAGTCCCCCACAGGTTGTTTGGGGTTCATTCGTGTTGCTTTGGTTGAATCTTCGGCCCGTTGTTAAACATGTTGGATTCAGAAATATTTGCTTCCTTTCTGAGGCTGTTTTATGGTTGGGATTTATGTCTCTTTAAGAAAACACACAGTTGTTGTGGTTTTAAATTGAATTGTATTTGACCCCTTAACCTCTCTTGCCACCCTTAGCCCCATATTTGTTAGGAGAATGATGTTCTACTTGATTTTGTGGTTTAGGGGAAGGGATGAGACAAACTGCCTTTAAGACCTTGAAAACGAAAACTCTGAAAGATAATTTTGCTGTCTTTACTTCATCTCATAACATTTTCCCAAAATTGTTCCTTAATCCTATATTACCAATTGAATTGTTTAGTGGTTAGGGGTTTGTGACTAACCCCAGGGCTGGATCTGGGAGACCTGAATAATGATTAAAAGATTTAAGAAATACGTGTAGCTCAAAAAAAAATGGTGATCTGGAAAGAGAGTTAGACTGTTTCATTTAAATAGTGCCAATTTTTTCTCAATACTTTTTCAAATTAACTTTTGCAAGAACAAAAAGAGGTAATATGCTGTCTTTGGACGGACCTCTGCAGACCTTCTATATCTATGGTTTTTAAAGGTGGGTACTGGGCAAGCAAAAATGTGTTTGGTTTAAGTTTAAGCATGGAAGGTAGTGAAACATGTCTATGTGTGAAATTAGATTAGGCCTTTAAATCAGATCATGATCTATTTCGGAGCCTGTCCCACTTCAACCAGCTGTTTGCTAGTCTTTCTAAAGATCCTACTTCTCAATCCTCTCTACTAAAGGTAAAATAGTGACAGCTAATAGCAGCTCCACGTAATCCCCATTTCAGGAAAACTTTGCAGTCCCTTAAGAAAGAAAAAAATACTGGTAATTATAAATGTTTGTATAGCTACACTATACTGTGTTTATCCCTGTTTAATAAGGTACACATCATTAAATTGGTGTGTAACAGAGTCAAATAAAAACAACTACATGCTTTCATAATCCAAATCCATTTTTTTTTCTAAGTTGGTCCAAGTGGTGAGGGAATTACTCATGACTCAACTGACAACATTTAACAAAGCGCACCACCAAACTAACACAACCTCAGAAAGACATGAGTTTCATTATACAATATACTCTGACAAGCTTTTATTTTGACTCCGATGCTCCCTGCTTCATCCAATCAGTGCATCCACTTCTCTGATTTTCTGCAGTGGTCTGATCTGAGACCTGAAAGGCAAAAAGAGCGGCTTCATCTACTCACAGAACCAGGCATTAAACATCGCCTTACTGTCTTTTATCTCCCAAGACTATAAAGTCGGAAAAGCTAAACGTAACGCCACGGAAAAAAGAAATATGGATTTAAAGCTTAGGTCTGTTTTATCTAAGTCTCTTTTTCTACACATTTTTTCTCCTGTATAATTTAGCCCTTCCAGATTTAGGGCTTGAAATGGTTGAGATGGCGTTCCTCGGCCGGGTGGGGCGAAGAAGGGGGATAATAGTGGAGTGAGGCGAACGTAGAGCTACAGTCGGAGAAATGCTTTCATTCCCCAGAGGGAGAGGCTGGCTCAGACTGAGAGAGTGGGCGGAGAGGTTGGGGCAGCTGCTTTCCAGATGTCGCAAAGAGAAGAAGATATGTGCAACTATAGAAGCTGTATGTATATGTGTCTTAGTGGAGTGATCAGTTGGTGGGGATCTAACTGCAGTGCTGCACATTTGGGGACAACTAGGTCTGTGAAAGTGAAGAGGAAACTTAGCCTACCCGCTTTGGTTTTATTGAAGTGGCATTATTGTGTTTATGGGGTTAGGGCATGTAGAAGTTAGCGTAAATGGTAGGTTAAGTTGGTGACATATGTTCCAGAGTAAGCACCACTAATGTGTAATAAACGTACATACGACTAGATTGCATGACTTTCACAAAACAAGTGTCAGTGCCACCACAGCCTAATGAAAGCCAGACAGAGGATTAGTCAGCTCTCCAAAGACAAACTTCTCCCCATGTTCCTGATAGAGACCTGGCTCTTTCTGTCTACTTAGAATTTTATGGGCTGAATATGAACTAGAAAGAGAGCAGAGAAACAGTAGTCCTCAGGGGAGCATTATTCAGTCAAAAAGAGAGAGCTGAGGGTTTAGGGAAAAATTGGCCAAGTTCACAGTAGACTCAAAAACTAGAATTTCTCATATGGAGTCCCAGACAGTTTGTACAGACATTTCTGACAAATGTCTGAAGGGGAAAAAAGCTGTGCAGTACAGATGTCTGATTTGAATTAAATAAAAAAAATATACTCGAGCTTCCTTTCTTGTGTTTTTGACTGTATTTTTGGTTCAGTTTTGGCTTTTGCGTCCATCTTTCAATCAACAGTGAGCAGACATTTCACTGAGTGCAGGTTGGCTGTGGCTTTGCTGAAAGGGAGAAGAATTTAGCTTCTACTAAGACATTGCAGCCTCTCTTAGGATCCTAGAAATGATTGTTTTTCTGTCTATGAGCTTTATAGATCTTCCCAACTTAGTGTGTTTTTACAGGGGAGCTTTTGACTAAATGAATTTGGTGTAATAGTTTGAGTAAAAGTAACCTACATAAGGTTTGTGCAGTCTTTAATCTAATTCATATTTATCATGGTTGCAAATCCTGAGCGTTTTGGAAAATCTAACAATCAGCTTAATAACCTAAATTATTTAATTAGTTCTTATATTTGGTAACAAAACAATGTCTGTTTAAATTTAAGCTTTTTTTTTTTTTTACTTAAGCCCACAACTTGCTTCCTTTGGTTATAAATTTCAGGCCTTTTTATTTTAGCTAGCCCTATAAAAGTTGTAAAGACAAGACAACATGCCTTCAAGTAAGACGTTTGTTGATCTTAACTAGTCAGGAAATGGCTATGAGAAAATAGCTTCCTTCTGCAACCTGCACATATCTAAAGCCAGACTGATGGATACATTAAAGAAAATATGTAGCCTTTAAAGAAAAAATAAAACTATATTCCAGCATTTCTTTTCTCACATTGTACTCGGTAACATAAAAAGTTTGAACAGCGTACAAGTGAGGCTTCTGTATGAGCAAAAACGCTTTAACAAACCTTTACCACACATTCACATCTGCTACAAAACTGATGATTCTGTAACAGAAATAACTCAGGAGTAACTAAATAACATCATCCTCTGCTCAGTGCACTGATGCACCAACTAAGACTCATCTTATCAGATACGTGAAATTCAATGTCAGCTTGACCTTGACCTAAGTTGTGAGAATTTGTATCTAAGCACTTTGGAGCAATGAAAGGCATTCTACGTTTTTTTCCAGCCTGTCAGATATAAAAATTGTAGACATGAAAAAGACTGACATCAGACAAAGACTATCGGATGCGGGGGAAACAAATCTAATTCAACAGTTTTCATTTCAGAAGAAACTAATTGTAAACTTGATTGTTAAATATTTGTTTCCTGTACCTTTTATTCATGCAGAGGTGCAGGAGTACAAGCCTCCATTCGGGAACCTGAGGGAGCACCCATGTGTTGAGAGCATGAAGGACAGCGTTCTCCGAGACAGAGGAAGACCTGAGATCCCAAACAGCTGGACGAGCCACACAGTAAGAAGAAGCAGCACACTTTCAATAGGATATGCATTAAAACATTAATGCTTTTATTCAAACACAGAGGCGAGCACAATGATTGTTTCAGTGAAGAATTAGAGATACTTTATAACAGACCATCATGAAATTATGAAGTGTTTGCAACCTTGAAAGGTTCTCTACCATGCTATTTGAAGTCAATTAAAGTCAGCTAGAAGCATATATATATATATATATATATATATATATATATATATATAATGAAGTATATATATATATATATATATATATATGCATATAATGAAGTAATGCCTTTAGAATTACATGA